TTTTTTTTTTTTTTTTTTTAATGAGGAGATTACTATTAATGAATTAAATTCAACAGGACTCACTTCTCTTCTGAAATTCAGATTCCCTACTTAAATTATCATAAAATTTATTATTTGAATATTTACTTGCAAGTTGTCTCTTATTTATATTATAAATTGATTTTAGAATGGAACCTTAGTAAGTTGACCTTAATCAATTGACGAATAAATTCATCATAGCGATTCACTTGTATGGAGTCGGAGTGTCAGTGGAAAACCTTCGCCAAAACTCCATACGAGTGGACTTTCCAATTGTCGACATGCATCCTCAAGACCTCCTTCACCTTCTCCTTGAGATGGGTCTTTTGGTCCGCCGCCAATACGATTGAACATAGCTTGACATGCGTCCCGGCCCGAGCCATCAATCTTGCCACGTGCCCGTTACCGCCAGAATACTTTGACACGAGCCACACAATGAACACTGCGCTGTCGTCCGCCGCAGGGGACACCCTGAGCATCCGCCTCGTCACCAACGTGATCCCGTCAGGGTGGCCAACCAGCTGGGCCCGCCCACCCGCACACGAGCACAGGTGGCACAGTATCTCGAGCACTAGCTCCGTCGTCCTCCGCTCCCCACCGCACCTCACCTCCACCTCAATTAGCTCCGCAACCGCCCCCAACTCGACCATCATCGCCCGATTATGTGCCCACATACAAGTCTCGAGCATGACGTGCAACAACGACACCACTCCCTCATGAGGGACCGAATTCTCGGGCCGGAGGCCTGAGAGCACGGCTCCGAAGAACTCGAGCCTCAGATGCTCGAGCATTGCAGAGTCCGCACACCGGACGACGGCCCTCAGCAGGCACGCCGCGCGCGTCTTAACCACAACGGCAGTTTGGTCGTCGAAGCTCTCCTCGGCCAAAATCCAGAGCAACGAGGCGACGACGCGCTCGTCTGCTGTCGACGGTGGGCCCTGCGCCCCGACCCGAATGAGGTGGAAAAGGCTTAAAGCCTCTTCGAGACCTTCCGTGGAGCGGCTCTCACGGCACGACTCGATGAACGATATCAAAGCGTCGGTCGTGTCGGTCTCGGATAGCAAAACCCTATCACGTTTGCTCTCAACCGCTAGGGATTCGAGCTTCCTTAAGGTTTCGAGCCTGGTTTGAGGGCTCGGGTGGTGGCAGAGGTCGTCGATCATGCTCGTGACGCGGGATTGACTTTGAGGAGTAGTGGACATGGGGTCCACATTGCCGTTCGAGTTGGCGGAGCACCACGTTTGGATCAAGCGGCAGAGGGTGTGGTTGGGGGTTAGGTCCGGGCCGCCGGAGAGTGGCTGCATGGTGACTGGACATTTTAGTGTCCGGTTGGCGGCGGTGGAGTCGAACAGCCATCGTTGGATGCTTTCTCGATCGTAGGTGATGCCGGTAACGGTGGTGACCGGATCTTTCATGATCTCCAATGAGATAGGGCAGATGAACTGCTCGGGGACTTCATCTTTGTCCATTAATAAATTACTAGATAGGTTGTAAATTGCAGTGATACGTTTAATTATAAACTTACTTTTATTTAGATTTGAGAGAGAGAGAGAGAGAGAGAGAGAGAGAGATTATAATGAAGAATGCATTAATCAGAGACACAAATTCTAAATGAAAGGAAAAAAAAAAAAGGCGTGTGGTGACAGCTACGTACAAAGGTCAGATGGTCTTCGGATGGAGCCATGAAGGCTATTTTCGGCGGTCAAAGTGTTTGTTGCAAAAAGTTTAATTAGGCCAAATCTAGGGAGAATTTTATATTCCTGCTACCTTTATTTTATTTTATTTTATTTTTTCTCGTACTAAAATTGTAACCCATTTATTTTATCCATAATATAATATAGTAGTATGTAGTAGCAATACATTAACAAACATTTTATATCATTTTTTTGTTTGAGAACACAAACATTTATATCATTATTTTTGTTTGAAAATAACAATTTATACTTTTCTTTTGATAAATAAATTTTGTTACTTTTTCTTTTATAATTAATTGTACAAATTAATTGATATACACAGTTAGAGAGAATATGTTTGGTAGAAAAATAAGTTAGCCTATAGCTTATTTGGTTAGATTATATATTCTCTGTATTCAAATAAGTTCCTTTTGGTAGAACGAGCTTTGTTAAAAAAAACTCGCGCTTATTTAATAATTTTCTTTAAGTAGCTTTCTAAATAAGCTCGTTCAGCTAATTTATCAACTAATTTTACTAAACACGTTTATCATATAAGTAAGCATTTCAACTATAAATTATAAGATATAAGCTATAAATTCAAAAATTATTGATACATTGTAAGCTAGCTTATCAGCTAGTTTTAGCACACGATATATATCCTATTAGTTATATTTTATTGATAGTTGATTTATATCTTACTTCTATGATCTCACATCATATCTCACAATATACAGTGAAGATGTTAATAGGAATCTATATATATATAATTACTAGCTTATGTGCATTTAATAAAACCTCAAATTTTTTCCCTCCAAAAGAGGTTACTTTGCATTAATTAAGTATTTATATTTTTATTTTATTTTATTATATAGCAATTACTACTAACAAATCATAAAGGCACATTAAATGAAATTATAATTTTAAATTTTTTTCAAACTATTTATTTGATTTTTTTTTTTTTTGGTTTTAACTCATTAAGCAAGTGTTTTTTATCAACATTAGTTATTTAATTTTTATGATATAACTAAAATTTTCAAAATTTCGATACTATAGTAATAATTATTTCAATATTGTTTTATCTAATCAATTGTTTATACTAAAAAAGTATTGCAAAAATTATACAACTGCAATCGATATAAAAACTAATATGTAAGTTAATAGTTTATCGTTCATTTTTACTAATGATAAAATTTATAAAATGTGATATGCTATTATCTAACTTCTAATTTTAAATATTACATACACATACATATAACATATAAAGTTGTATTTGCATCTGTGCATGTGCACAGGATCGAATAATAGTGGTGGTTAATTAGGAGCTGAATGAAGTAGCTGTCTTTAATGAGAAAGGGACAAACGTGCGTGGTAATGTCCAAAAATAGGATGATAATTTTGACTGAGATCGTTGGGTCAAAGTATTATTTTCTCGATTATGTACAACATTTTTTTTTTTTTTTT